AATCTTCAGGAACAAATTATGACAGTTCCTACGATGCTGAATTCACTGTTAGGACCATTGATATTGTTCAGTTTACTGTTAGGACCATTGATATTGTTCAATTTACTCTTAGGACCATTGATATTGTTCAGTTTACTGTTAGGACCATTGATATTGTTCAGTTTACTCTTAGGACCATTGATATTGTTCAGTTTACTGTTAGGACCATTGATATTGTTCAGTTCACTGTTAGGACCATTGATATTGTTCAGTTCACTGTTAGGACCATTGACATTGTTCAGTTCATTTTTAGGTTATGTGGAAAATTTTGATAATTTTCCTGTGAATTATATATAATAACTGATAGGGATATTGTTTATATAATAATGTATTAGTGTAATGCTAAAGTGTCTTTTTAAAAGGTGATAAGTCACAGAGGAAGCAACAATCCCCTATAATTCCATCATTTATTGTAAAAAGTAATAAAACAAAATAGAATTAGTGTAACAGTGAAGTAATTAATAGTATGATAAGGAAAAATATATTACACACTTATAAATATTACTAAATTTAAATAAAAAATGTGTACATAATAGGAGAACCAGAGAGGAACAAAGATGGCGGCACGAGAAGCAGACTAACTAGCGACTTGATATTTATCAAATTTAATAGTGGCCAATATAAATATTATCGGCGAATTTCTTCATTACATGTGAAGAGAAAATACATTTGGAATAGTGCAGATATATAATAAAATGGGAGAACAAGGATGTTATGGATGGAAAACAGGACGCAGTAGCTGGATGGTATGTCATCTTGTCTACCACATGTATCATCCAGTTATTAATGTTCGTCACCCAGTGTGAATTACACATAGTCTACCACATGTATCATCCAGTTATTAATGTTCGTCTCCCAGTGTGAATGACACATTGTCTACCACATGTATCATACAGTTATTAATGTTCGTCTCACAGTGTGAATTATAAACAACACAAGAGGTAGGGTTGCTGGAGGTTTACCAATTTTTTGGTTGTTATTCTTGTTGGAGACGTTAATGTAATAACTTGGCATATAATAATATATGTTCTTCACTCAGTTGAAATAATGTGTTTAATAAGTGATAAATAGTAGATAAAACAAATTAATTAAAGCCATCATGTCTACATAACTTCTTTATAATTATACAGTCCACTAAATTAGCCAATTTTGCTGACACTTTAAATTTACAGGAACCGTATGTTCCTTGTCCAGAGTCCCGGAGATGGTTGAGGAACTGAGATAGTAGGCATCCTCGTGAAAAAATACCACTGGAATTTCTAACATTTCGTTGCTCTTATTGAATTAACTGTTAGGATCATTGTTATCATTAAATTCACTGGTGTACTCTTCCATCACCTCAAAACTCAACTGTTTCCTTATCAACAAAACACTTTAATCTCCACTTCCTAATCCTCTTAATAGTCATCTGATCCCTTTCTGAAAATACTGTATTACAAATTTCTTATGTTACTTTCTCTTACTGCATTATATTTTGTGCAGCTGCATTGTAGATGTTGGTTGCGGATGGATAGTGTAGTATGTTGTGTTGTAGGAGACACTGATAGATGTGGATGACACATGGATGGACAGTGTAGTATGTTGTGTTGTAGGAGACACCGATAGTAGTGGATGATACCTGGATGGACAGTGTAGTATGTTGTGTTGTAGGAGACACTGATAGTAGTGGATGACACCTGGATGGACAGTGTAGTATATTGTGTTGTAGGAGACACTGATAGTAGTGGATGACACCTGGATGGACAGTGTAGTATGTTGTGTTGTAGGAGACACTAGTAGTTGTGGATGACACCTGGATGGACAGTGTAGTATGTTGTGTTGTAGGAGACACTGATAGTAGTGGATGACACCTGGATGGACAGTGTAGTATGTTGTGTTGTAGGAGACTCTGATAGTAGTGATTGATACCTGGATGGACAGTGTAGTATGTTGTGTTGTAAGAGACACTGATAGTAGTGAATGAAACCTATATGGACAGTGTAGTATGTTGTGTTGTAGGAGACATTGATAGTAGTGGATGACACATGGATGGACAGTGTAGTATGTTGTGCTGTAGGAGACACTGATAGTAGTGGATGACACCTGGATGGACAGTGTAGTATGTTGTGTTGTAGGAGACACTGATAGTGGATGACACCTGGATGGACAGTGTAGTATGTTGTGTTGTAGGAGACACTGTAGTGGATGACACCCTGATTGACAGTGTAGTATGTTGTGCTGTAGGAGACACTGATAGTAGTGGATGACACCTGCGTGGACAGTGTCGTAAGTTGTTTAGTAGGAGACACTGATAGTTGTGGATGACACCTGGATGGACAGTGTAGTATGTTGTGTTGAAGGAGACACTGATAGTAGTGGATGACACCTTGATGTACAGTGTAGTATGTTGTGTTGTAGGAAACACTGATTGTTGTGAATGACACCTGAATTGACAGTGTAGTATGTTATGTTTTAGGAGACACTGAGAGTAGTGGATGACAACTGGATGGAGAGTGCAGTATGTTGTGTTGTAGGAGACACTGACAGTAGTGGATGACACCTGGATGGACAGTGTAGTATGTTGTGCTGTAGGAGACACTGATAGTAGTGGATGACACCTGGATGTACAGTGTAGTATGTTGTGTTGTAGGAGACACTGATAGTAGTGGATGACACCTGGATTTACAGTGTAGTATGTTGTGTTGTAGGAGACACTGATAGTAGTGGATGACACCTGGATGGACAGTGTAGTATGTTGTGTTGTAGGAGACACTGATAGTAGTGGATGACACCTGGATGGACAGTGTAGTATGTTGTGTAGTAGGAGACACTGATAGCAGTGGGTGACACCTGGATTGACAGTGTAGTATGTTGTGCTGTAGGAGACACTGATAGTAGTGGATGACACCTGGGTGGACAGCATAGTAAGTTGTGTTGTAGAAGACACTGATAGTTGTGGATGACACCTGGATGGACAGTGTAGTATGTTGTGTTGTAGGAGACACTGATAGTAGTGGATGACACCTGGATGGACAGTGTAGTATGTTGTGTTGTAGGAGACACTAATAGTTGTGGATGACACCTGAATGGACAGTGTAGTAAGTTATGTTTTAGGAGACACAGAGTAGTGGATGACAACAGAATGGACAGTGCAGTATGTTGCGTTGTAGGGGACACTGATAGTAGTGGATGACACCTGGATGGACAGTGTAGTATGTTGTGTTGTAGGAGGCACTGATAGTTGGGGATGACACTTGGATGGACAGTGTAGTATGTTGTATTGTAGGAGGCACTGATAGTTGTGGATGACACCTGGATGGACAGTGCAGTGTGTTGTGTTGTAGGAGGTACTGATAGTTGTGGATGAGACCTGGATGGACAGTGCAGTGTGTTGTGTTGTAGGAGGCACTAATAGTAGTGGATGACACCTGGATGGACAGTGTAGTATGTTGTGTTGTAGGAGACACTGATAGTTGTGGATGACACCTGGATCGACAGTGTAGTATGTTGTGTTGTAGGAGACACTGATAGTAGTGGATGATGCCTGGATGGACAGTGTAGTATGTTGTGTTCTAGGAGACACTGATAGTTGTGGATGACACCTGGATCGACAGTGCAGTGTGTTGTGTTGTAGGAGACACTGATAGTAGTGGATGACACCTGGATGTACAGTGTAGTATGTTGTGTTGTAGGAGGCACTGATAGTTGTGGATGTCACATGCATGGACAGTGCAGTGTGTTGTGTTGTAGGAGGCACTGATAGTAGTGGATGACACCTGGATGGACAGTACAGTATGTTGTGTTGTTGGAGGCACTGATAGTAGTGGATGACACCTGGATGGACAGTATAGTATGTTGTGTTGTTGGAGGCACTGATGATTGTGGATGACACCTGGATGGACAGTGCAGTATGTTGTGTTGTAGGAGGCACTGATAGTTGTGGATGACACCTGGATGGACAGTGCACTATGATGTGTTGTACGAGGCACTGATAGCAATCGATGACACCTGGATGGACAGTGTAGTATGTTGTGTTATAGGAGGCACTGATAGTTGTGGATGACACCTGGATGGACAGTGCAGTGTGTTGGGTTGTAGGAGACACTGATAGTTGTGGATGACTCTTGGATGGACAGTGCAGTGTGTTGTGTTGTAGGAGGCACTAATAGTAGTGGATGACACCTGGATGGACAGTGCACTATGATGTGTTGTACGAGGCACTGATAGCAATCGATGACACCTGGATGGACAGTGTAGTATGTTGTGTTGTAGGAGACACTGATAGTAGTGGATGACACCTGGATGGACAGTATAGTATGTGGTGTTGTTGAAGGCACTGATAGTAGTGGATGACACCTGGATGGACAGTGTAGTATGTTGTGTTCTAGGAGGCACTGATAGTTGTGGATGACACCTGGATGGACAGTGTAGTATGTTGTTTTAGAGGAGGCACTGAAGGTTTTGGATGACACCTGGATGGACAGTGCAGTATGTTGTGTTGTAGGAGGCACTGATAGTTGTGGATTACACCTGGATTGACAGTGTAGTATGTTGTGTTATAGGAGGCACTGATAGTTGTGGATTACACCTGGATTGACAGTGTAGTATGTTGTGTTATAGGAGGCACTGATAGCAGTTGATGACACCTGGTTGGACAGTGTAGTATGTTGTGTTGTAGGAGGCACTGATAGCAGTTGATGACACCTGGATGGGTACTGGTAGTTGCAAGTGCTATAGGAGCAGAATATTTATTTTAGCAAAGATAGAGACAAAGGATAGAGAATGGTGAAAAATAGTTTTCCAAATTATTAGATAATATAGGCAAATTACATTTTTATTGCATTAATTTTAGCAAGATTAGGTTAGTTTGGAAGGTTAGTTTTGGTCCAAAATATGAAATTGTATACCAATGTCTTTAAACAAAAAAATAATAAAAAAGCTACTCTCGTATACAAAATGTTGGACGAGCAACGAGAACTGACCAAGGATTACTAGTGTGGGTGTCCCTTCACGGTTCTTTTCCCACTCTGCCGTCATATTCGGCAGCCTCTTCAGCAATATGTCCAAGTAGAAGTTCATTCGAAAGTTGATTTTCACATCGCGCATCTCAATGTCTTCCCATAATTTATTCACATGCAGAAATATCTCAAGCTCAGTTCCATTCAACCATTTGCCCTGTGTGTGCAAACAATTTTGTTAAAATTATCTGCACTGATTTCTGCAAATACATTAAAAAATTCTATAAATCAGTAAGCGAAATTACTCACTGCATTTAGTCGGTACTGGAGAGTGGGGCTCCTGAATCTCGTGAGAAATGAAGCGAAGAGGTAACGCATGTGAGAGTCACCAAATAATGTCCAGTGTTCACTTCTGCCAGCTGTTCCACCACCACCTGTTGCGTTACCACCAACAACAGCACCATCTTTAGCACCAGTACTATTGCTTCTGTAAAATTGAAGTTTTTTTTTTTTTTTTTTTTGCCATGGTATATCGATCAGAGTTTTAACCTAGAGTTTCTATCCCGGATATTTTAGAACATTCCTACTCTTGTAATGTTAAGCTGTGACATCTTTATCCAGGACGTTTTAGCATAAATATGTATATAAGTTACCTAATGCGGAATCAAGGCCCTCAGTCTATCCTCATAGGGAAGATTTCTCGTATAGGGGATTAATCAATCAAATTCTGTTTTTGACTCTCGTTTTGGCAGGCCATAGCAGCTCTCCTACTTATACAGTCTCCCTACGATCCACGTTGGGGAGGGGAACCTCTACCATCTCCACGATGTCTCATCATGTGAGGATTAAACCCAAGACTGCTGTCATCAACGATACCACGAAGCTTGAGCTTGCATCCTCACTCAACACTAGTCTTAAAGCCAAGTTCTCAAAAATAACCTCTCTGAAAGAAGCCCTCATCGTCACCTTTATTGATGATGGAGAAGCTGACAAAGTACTCACACCTACAGCAATGAAGACCTTAGACGAACGTGGCTTTACCATCTCCACCTCCACCTCACCTTACATGCTAGCTAAACGGTCTGTGTTCGTGAAACGCCTTGATAGGCTAATCACGAACATGTCTATCGAGGAAATTAAGTCATCACTTGAAGACCTCAACACCTGGGCCAAGATTGCTTTAGATCACGTTTCTGGAAGTCACCTTGGCGACCAGAGCACTGTCGGATGGCCTGGCCATCTCTTACTATTTATCAACCCTCTACAAATTGAACCTGAACGCTGCAGATACATAACACCTTGTTGGACATGCTACTCCTACAATCATTCAACTGCTGACTGCCATGTGAAGAACAAGAAGATATGTTCCACCTGTGGTTCTGAAGGTCACGACTTTCGTTCCTGCACTTCTACTGCTGCTCCCACCTGCATCAACTGTAAGAGTGACCACCATACTCCTGCAGCTAAATGTTCAGTCCGAAAGGATATCCTTTCCAAGAAGCTAAAAGAAAACATTAAGGAGTCATATGGAAATTCCTTTACTTACGCTGCAATTGCAAAGATTCAGTAAACAATCTCCAAGGTTTTACAAGCCACTCAGCAGTCGCCACCGACACCTCTCACTACTTCTCCTCCACCAGACAATATATCTCTACAAAAATCTATTACTGCATGATGTTTGCTCACATGCAAAATGCTGGGAAACCTGGCTCCTTCAACACGACTATTAATGAACTTTTTGCACTCAACAACATGCCATGATTCACCTTCCCAGCCAGTCTTCCCTCAGCTGATATTTTGAAGATTATCCCAAAGATCGTCAGTTTCGAAGCGCCAGATGACTTGCAGGAAATGATACTTGAAGATGCTACACAGTAGCATCTTGAATTGTGAACTACACAGTAGCATCTTGAATTGTGAACTGCACAGTAGTTAGTTTAATATCTTTATTATGCAGCCCATACCCATCCTGTGGGTGGTAGTCAAAAGATTACAGAGGTACATAATGAGTCCAGGGACTGGACCCCAAAGTTATGATAGCTGAACTAGTTACAAAGGTAATGAACTCCAGGTAGATCTGGTCAAAATCATGGAAAGTTACAAAGGTAATGACTCAGCCTCACTCCTATACATGGTTACAGTTATAAACAAATTACAAGGTATTGAGCCATTGATACGTCCACACCTGGTCGCAATTGTAATGAGTTATAAATACAAATATTAAGTGGTTCATACACCCACACGAGCGCTCGCGCACACACATACACACACGAGGGCGCACGCACAGATACATGCACACGAGCGTACAAATATATGTATACACATAAGCATGCACACACACACACACACGTGGCAATGCTTTATTTACAGCTAGCAAAGTCAGAGTATTTCTCCAGAATGGTCTGTAATATATCACTGTGGATAAAATACTTTGCAATTTCTTGAACATTTCTGAGTGAGTTGTCTATAAATTAATTAATCTGATCGCACTCCAATACATAATGACGCAGGGTGTGACAAGAGTCAATCTGGCAAAGTTTACATTTCGTTTGGTTTACATCTGGTGGTGGTGATTTAACCTGCCATAGATACTTGTAACCCAGCCGGAGCCTGGCGGTAGTGGCATCCAAGAGTCTGCTTATGATCACTGAAATGGTATAAAATACCGACAGGTTGTATGGTAAGACACATGTGCAACAGTTAGGTATCTTTATTTCGAAATGTTTCGCCTACAGTACAGTAGGCTTCTTCAGTTCAGTACAAAAAAGTTGATAGAAGCAGAAAAGACGATGTAATCAGTCCATCTCCCTTGAAGTTTTGAGGTGGTCAGTCCCTCAGTCTGGAGAGGAGTATTGTTCCATAGTCTGAAACAATATGGAGTTGAAGTAACGAACGAACGAACGAACGAGCGATCGAACGAACGATAGTACAGGTAAGGTCCCAAATGGGATGAGCGGGGAAGACGGGACAGACGAAGAATAGTGCTGGAGAAGAGTGTTCTTAGTCGTAGAAATACAGCAAGGGCTTAACCCAGCAGCGAAGGCTCTTCTATTGGGACTCCGGTGGGGTGAGCGGGGAGGACGGGACAGGTGAAGATTAGTGCTAGAGAGGAGTGTAGAATTGAGCCATGTCTTAACCCTAAAGCTAAGGCGAAAGTGGGTCAGAGAATGGTACCTGTCAAAGAATCCAAGGTTATTTGTAAATAGGGTTAGGAGCAGGATCATACAAGGAGTAGGAAAGGTTGTGTTGGTTTGTGGGTCTGCGAATGTCATCCTCAAGGAGAGAGGTCCAGTAGTTGAGTCGTGTCTCAAATTTGTCTGTCTGTCACTGAGCGTCTTCCAGCACAGATTCAGCGCAGGGATGTCTAATCGGGCATGGAGAGACTAGTTTGTGGCGAAGTCTTCCCATCTGACATCAAGCACCCAACGCAGCGCCTTGTCCTAGACACGCTGCAGTTTAAGTAAGTTCGTTTTAGCTGCAAGAGAGAGGGCTAGAGGAGAGTAAGTTATCAGAGGACGTATTAGGGATTTGTAGAGGTGTAGTTTGGTGCGTTGCGAGGCATGTTTCAGCTTGTAGAGGCCTGCAAGGGCCTTACTAGCTATTGCATGCCTTGAGTGAATGTGACCATGTAAACGAAGAAGGTAGTCAAGATTAACGCCAAGGACAGTGACAGATTGTGTGATGGGGATGTAAGTGCGGGTGTCAGCTGTTCTGAACTCGACAGGTAATGGAGGATCAAGTTTCCTCTAGTTAAAATATGTAATGCTTGATTTAGCTGCATTGGTTTTGATCCTCCATTTTTGTTCCCAGATGGCTATCCTGTCGACCTCATAGGTCGTGTGATAGGGTTATGGAATGCAGGTGTTGGAATGTCGTTAGTGTATAAAATGTAGTGGGTAGTGGAGAGGACAGATCCCTGGGGTACTCCAGTATTTAGTGTGAAGTAGTCAGAGTAACAGCCTTGGAATTTTATTCTCATGGTACGGCCGTCTAGGAAGTTGCAGAGGAGTTTACGAGTAGTGAGAGGCAGGTTGAAGTTAGAGCAGAGTTAGTGCTTGAGCCCTTCGTGCCACTTTCAAAAACTTTTTCAACGTCTTTTGCAACCAGGGCTGTCCTGTTTCTTTGTTTTGTGTTTATGTGGATGTAGTTGAGAATGACGTTAATAGCATCCTGTGTGGATCTGTGTGTTCTGAAGCCAAACTGGCCATCAGAAAGTAGTGAATTGTGTTCCAGGTATCTGCGAAGGCGATGGTTGATGAGTTTTTCAAAGAGTTTTACTAAAGTTTCGAGGAGGCTGATACCTGGAGGTTACCTGGAGGTTATTCCGGGGATCAACGCCCCCGCGGCTCGGTCCATAACCAGGCCTCCCGATGGATCAGGGCCTGATCAACTAGGCTGTTACTGCTGGCCGCACGCAGTCCAACGTACGAGCCACAGCCCGGCTGATCCGGCACTGACTTTAGGTATCTGTCCAGCTCTCTATTGAAGGCAGCCAGGGGTTTATTGGCAATTCCCCTAATGCTTGATGGGAGGCTGTTGAACAGTTTTGGGCCCCGGACACTTATGGTGTTTTCTCTTAGTGTACCAATGGCGCCCCTACTTTTTATTGGCGGCATTTTGCATCGCCTGCCCAGTCTTTTACTTTCGTAGGGAGTGATTTCTGTGTGCAGGTTTGGGACCATTCCTTCCAAGATTTTCCAAGTGTAGATTATGATATATCTCTCCCTCCTGCGTTCCAACGAGTACAAGTCAGTGCTTCCAAGCGTTCCCAGTAGTTAAGGTGCTTGACAGAACTTATACGTGCAGTAAAGGATCTCTGTACACTCTTGGATCTGCGATTTCACCTGCTTTGAATGGAGATGTTAATGTACAGCAGTATTCCAGCCTAGAGAGAACAAGTGATTTTGAAAAGGTCATCATGGGCTTGGCATCTCTCGTTTTGAAAGTTCTCATTATCCATCCTATCATTTTCTTTGCACGTGCAATCGTGGCACTGTTGTGATCCTTGAAAGTGAGATCCTCAGACATTACTACTCCCAGGTCCCTTACATTATTTTTCCGCTCTATTGTATGGCCGGGAGTCAGTAGTATACTCTGTTCTAGTTATTATCTCCTCCAGTTTCCATAACGGAGTAGTTGGAATTTGTCCTCATTGAACATCATATTGTTTACCGTTGCCCACTGGAAAACTTTGTTTATATCTTCTTGGAGGTTAACCGCGTCCTCAGCAGATGACAGCCTCATGCAGATCCTAGTATCATCCGCAAAGGATGATACGGTGCTGTGGTGTATATCTCTGTTTATGTCCGATATGAGGATAAGGAATAAGATGGGGGCGAGTACTGTGCCTTGTGGAACAGAGCTCTTCACTATGGCAGCCTCCGATTTAACTCTGTTGACCACTACTCTTTGTGTTCGATTTGTTAGGAAGTTGAAGATCCATCTCCCCACTTTCCCAGTTATTCCTTTAGCACGTATTTTATG